AGCATTGAGTACCGTTAATGTAATCGCTCTTGAGCTCTACGGAGCCGTTGAACCAGTAGTATCTGGCGTATCGAAGGTCGGAAACTTGTCATGATAACTTTGAACTTAAATATCATTTTAAATTCAACTACTTACGCGAACAAGAGCACGACGGTAAATATATTTCACGACCTGCGTGCATTGCTGTGTTTTCATTTATTCCAAACCAAGCCCGTTCAAGTTACAGCAAATGGTAGTTTCAATTGTGACAGGATACAGCGACATGACACATTTTTTTCCAAACAATAATGTTATAATTCAAAGAGGTTGGCTCGTAAGGGAGGCGAGGCCAGTGGAAAACCTGAGAAGCGGGATGAAGGCTTTAGAAGGACCAAAAGTGGGCAGGTGGTTCACCAGCGGAATGGGAAACACCAAAAGCCAAACATTAGCCGGGGCACCCTTAACAACCTGCATATTAAATTAACAGATCTTCATACGAGCAGAGAGCATGTGTGACACGCAGCATTTGATTCCAGGTTTAGTGGTAGTTCTGTTGTAGCCCGTATGCACATACAAAGAATGCGGTTATTGCGGAGACTGCATAGCCGAACAAGAAGGAACCCGGCGTGGGGCGCCGCCATTCATAATGAACCCGGCCCCGGTGTGGCTGCGCAGACCTATTGATGTTTCAGCCACAAACGCGAAAGACATGCCTTGATAAACGGGATGCATGAATGAGATAAGCCATGAGGCTTGGAAATCTCGGCGTGCACCATCCGACCGAGGGCACCGCGGCACCAGGACGCGGGCAGACGTGCGATGGCAAACACGTCAGGCCTGGAAACCAGGCATAGACCCCGATGAGACCATTATTTTGATTTCAGCTGTTATCAGCCGACTGGACGTTTGCCATAGTATAGTATGTGATAACGTAGTGCCCATGAATTGCAAACGAAATGCACATTTTTGTCCGGCGTCAAATATGTTGAGTTTTACTAAATCGATCACCTTGACAGGTATTACGCTCACGTATTATGAAGCTGTTCATGGGATTTACATCGTGTAGCTTTAAAAAATGATCATGAACATCAATAAATCCATCCATGGCATAGCCAATGACACCAGCCTATACGGCATAGCCTGTAACACTGAACCCAGTGACTATCTCGGATCCCAGCACAAGTCCAGACAGGAGGCGGCGTTAGCTCACGCCACACATCTTGACCCAACAATCCAGCCCGACCGTCGCCAGACGCGGTCACGCCTCGTGCCCGGCGCTGCCACGTGACCAGCGCGTCTCCGCCCCACTGGCTGCCGGACTGTCGCCAGGGCCCAGCAGACAGCCACTCTCCCACGCCCTCCTTCGACCGGCTGTCGGTGAGCTTCGCGCCGGACAGCGCCGGCTCGGCGGAGCAGCCGCAGCCACAGCCGCAGCCGCAGCCGCAGCCGCAGGGGCAGCAGCCCGTGCAGCAGCAGCCCCAGCTGGCGCACCCTCTGCAGCCAGAGTATGCCGGCGTCTCCGAACTGCCCGTGAAGCGGAGGAACAGCACCCGTAACTATCCAGCCTCCCGGGCACCCTCAAGAAGCCTGGTTTTACTGTTTGATGATTGCCATGATCGCTGCCTTGCATCATGTGCTATGCCGTCACGCATCTGCATGCAGTTGGGATGCCGTTTGTTTTCCTGGAGGGCTTGGATGAAACCGTGATTAAGCTTGCACGTTTACCGTTGCAGGAAATACACAATAATTCACCTCTTGTAAGCATTTTGAATGCATATTTGGTTCATTTCTCTTCGTATCTCTGCACCATGAATGCATTTGGAGGCATTCATCCAAAACTGGGCGAAACTCAGAACAACAAAGCCATTGCAACCGGCAGCCAAGCTTCTGTGCGTCTTTATCGCTTTTGCGCTCTTGCGTCTCTACAAAGCTGTCACAATCTGACTGACCCAAGGACGCGCTTCATACGCTCCCAAGCGCTTCACTGCTCGCCGCTTGGCATCACGCCGCTCTGCCTGCCCGTCCGTGACGCGTCGGGCGCCTCCTCAGGCAGGTCCGCCCCAACGCCGACCTAGGGCGGCCTCGGCGTCTGGGGGCCCAGGTCGGCCGTGCACCGGCCTAGAGAGCGGCTCGTTCGGCCGTATCGACCGGCGGCTGCCGCAGGTACTGTTTGCTCTGCCGACCGACTGACCGATCGGAGATTGCCACCGACACGCACCTCTTCGGCTTCAGTGCGCGGCCATTTGAGGCCCGCGGCGGTCCGCGGGCGTGAAGCGTCGCACTTCCGGCGGAGTGTGGTGAGGGGCGGTGCGCGCTCGCGGGCTCCATGGCGACGGATCGCAGTGGGCAGCTCTATTCAGGTGTGGATTATTAAGGTCCGGGGTGCTTAGAAAGCTTCGTTTTAGTGGAACTGGCGATCATGTGCAGGACAATCTGCGTCCAGATTACCAGGACTTGTAACCTCTCCCATGATTAACATCCGGGCAACTTGTATGATAGTCGGACCGTTAAATCACCTTCGCACTCCTCAAACACTGTCCATTGCCTTGCACCGAGTGTATTCGTTGTGACTTATTTAACGTCATCAGCTCCCAGACGCTACAATCGCACCCTCGTGCCGGCCAGTTGGGCTGGGAGCGTCAGCGTCCCAGCCCACCTTCCCCGGACCGCTGCTAACCCTGCGTCACCGGCCAGTGGGAGCGGCTGAAGACGAGGACGACGACGACTATTCGGCCAGCGTGTCGCAGATCCTGGAGCGCCAGGGCTCGCGGCGCGGCTCGCGCCGCCTGCACCGCCAGGCCAGCAGCCGCGACTCGCGCCGCTCCCTGCGCCGCGGCCGCAGCCGCTCCTCCCGCAACCACAGCCTCATGTCCGGAGAGTGAGTGGCGCCGGCACTGCGGTCCGTGTCGGGGAGAGTTGCCGATGCTGCGGTCCGTGTCGGGGAGTGCCGCCGGCGCTGCGGTCCGCGTCGGGAAGTGTCACCGACGCTGCGGTCCGTGGCGGGGAGAGAGTGTCACCGGCGCTGCGGTCCGTGTCGGGGGGGGGGGGGGGGGGGGGGAGTGCCACCGGCGCTGTGGTCCGTGTCGAGGAGTGGAGTGTCGTCGGGGCTGCGGTCCGTGTCGGGAAGTGGGTGTCACCGGCGCTGCGGTCCGTGTCGAGGAGTGAGTGTCGCCGGCTCTGCGGTCTCGTGTCGCGGAGCGTAGCCGGCGCTGCGGCCCCGCGTCGGGGAGCGAGTGTCGTTGAACACGCTCTGCTGTCTGGAGAGCGGTTGTATGTGGACAATGGGTAGGCCATGGGAATATCATGAAACCAAGTCACGTCAGGGGAAGAATGTCACCACATAGGTTATGTTTGTCTAAGTTTGTGTAAGAATTTACCCGAGTTGTATTTGTGGAGTTCGTATTAGAGAGCCGCAGCCTAATGTCTGGAATGTGTCATTACCTAACGCCATGTGCGAGGAGTGTCCAACACCCACCATATTTTGTCCGAACAGTGCCAGAGAGCTATGATGTAATGCCTGGTGCAGGGGCGTAGTCTCGCAAACCAAGTTGGGGGAGGGAGCAGTGAACAAGCTCTCTACAACAGTGAACAGCCTAACCCCAAAATAACCAACACACAGGCTTCTCCCCGGGTTGATTTGACCCACTTCCTTCTCAACGTTGAGAATTAGAGCCCAAGCTCTGGGTGGGGGTGTGGGCCTCAACACTCCCTTCCCACACTGAATAGGAAACTATACCCGTCATTCCGTGGTGTGTCAAAATGCTGTATACCATGAAACTACAGAGTCGTGTCAGGGACACAGGCGTGAGACTTTGCAGCCATGGCATGCAAGTGAACATTTCATTGTCAGTGACACAGGCGTGAGGGTTTGCAGCCATGGCATGCAAGTGAACATTTCATTGTCAGTGACACAGGCGTGAGACTTTGCAGCCATGGCATGCAAGTGAACATTTCATTGTCAGGGACACAGGCGTGAGGGTTTGCAGCCATGGCATGCAAGTGAACATTTCATTCCAGTGTGGTGTTGGAAGTTGACGAATCGGACAACGAAGAGCAGATATTTGAAAACATCCGACTGCACAAGGAAGTTATTGGCGAAATCAAGCACCAGCCATGGCCAATGCAAAGGTATTCTTACTGCGCTCAGTCAGCGTTTCAATTTTAGATTACTGCAGATTTTATGTGTCGCTGATTAAGCCTTTCATGATGAAACGATCTGAACATGCCAACGAAGCTGTTTTAGACGTTCATCGTGGCGTCATGCGCGACCTTTGCCAATTTTGCGACGCCATGTGGATAACTGTACATCCCACATAGGTTACGGCAAAAAAATCATCTAAGCTAATTCAACAAGTCTTACATGGTTATTTTTAGTCTTGTATTTTGCGCGGCAGTCTTAGTACATGTCAGTCAGCACGTTAAGACGGAAACAGAGGAAAACTGCCAGTTCCATTGGCGGGCATACAGAAGCACAAGAACCAATGCAAGATGGCAATTCATATTATCCAGTTGATCCTGAATCAGAGAAAGTAAACTGGTATTAGAAAGTTGACATGCAGAGTGTCAGAAGTGCCTTCATCTGAGCCTCTGAATGCCCTCTGCCAGCCCTTGTGGCTGGTCCAGCTCCGCTAAACCCCGCCGCCGCTATCGCAGGAAACTGAATCTGGTGATTCAGGCCAAGATCTACGTGGCGAAGCACGAGGGCGAGCTGGCTGAGCGGCTGGCGCAGAGCCGCTCGGCGCGAGACATCATGGCGCGCTACTCGCTCGTCTTCCTGCGCGTGAGTGCGGCCCTGTCCGGCAGGTTAAGATGGCGCCATCGCGCCTACTGAGGTGGTACACGTTTTGTGCGCTTCACCAGAGAGAACAAGTCATTGCTTCGTTTCGGTGAATTTGTTAGTTTAAAGGCTGTTGATTGTTCGTGCATCTAGTTGACTATTTAGTGATTATTAAGAGCGAACCATGCTGTGTAGTCGCGGGGCTATACTGTCCTTCGCCGCCCAACACATCCGCCTGCACGGAGCAACACTAGGTCATTGGCTTTAAAAGGCGGACGTGCCGTCTGTTTCCAGTACTGGCAGCTGTTCCAGCGTGAGTTCGCCAACTGGATGACCTCAGCCGTGCCGTGGCAGAAGCAGATCAAGCGGATCGAGTCCCACTTCGGCACGGCCGTGGCCTCCTACTTCACCTTCCTTCGATGGATCCTGCTCATGAACATCGGCATCAGTGTTCTTCTTGTCTGTTTCGTCATCATTCCAGAGGTGGGATGGTCCGAGGCCTCTGCTCTCTGGTTCACTCGCATTCGCCATTTTGTGGAAATGTTATGCTTCGATACGCTGTTGCAATAAATCTTTAGGGTAGGTGCTATAGTACGAGCATGACTAAGTAAGAGGAGCAGACGACACATGAAAATACTGGTTATCTCGATAGTGCGATACAAGGTTAGTGTTGTATTGGTTACTCGTTCTCTAACAAACTAGCTTGGAATACATATTACATTTGGAGTGACACTTGAGCATGCTTATTGATTGTTTAAGTGGTATTAACGCTGTCATATTAACTCCTGAAAAGCATTTGCGTCTTCCAGTAGATGGAAGGGCAGTCCGTATAGTTCCTACACTTAAGTTAAATTCCTTCGGATAAATGAATCGCTATGGACCAACTTGTATTTGCGGGGGGAACTCTTCCAGGGCATGGGCGGCCGCTAATTTGTTTCCTGCCATCAAGACAGTGCTGCATTGAGATATAAATGGCTTTGTCTCCAGATTTTGGCCGCTGACCGTCATGACCTCTGGAGAGAGAAAGGAGCTGTTGGAGGTGGAAAAGAAGCACGCCTATGATCTGAAGACTATGTGGGACTTTGAGGGAATTCTGAAGTATTCTCCCCTGTTCTACGGCTACTACAACAACAAAGACAAAACCTCAGCCGGCTATCGCATCCCTTTTGCGTACTTTTTAGCTGGAATGCTGGTTTATGCGTTCAGTTTTATCGTCATACTGAAAAAGTAAGACATCTCTGAGGGAGTTATGCACTTGGTGTGCGTGATGGCATAGCATAATCATAATTGCTCGCGGTGCATTAGCTTATAATCTAGAGCGTAAATGCAATGTATTTGCAGTGGGGCAAAGTAAACCGGAATGAAAAGTTACAATATTTTGACTAAACTTGTGCTGTTCTCTCACAATGATCAAGATAGTGTGGTGGAGCGCAATTCCATCTATCCAAAGCAGGGACGTGAGGCACCTCAGCCTTTGGTTCAATGTAGGCTCCAACAGCATGTCATGCTATTCGATTAAAAGGAAGACAAACGTTTTTAGTAATGTATTCCTTATAAACCTGCATCTGTGTGCGTCAGGATGGCGGAGAACTCGCGGATGAGCAAGATGTCGTCCAAAGAGGACGACTGCACGTTCACTTGGAAGCTGTTCACCGGCTGGGATTTCATGATTGGACACGCCGAAACAGCATTGAACAAGGCAAGCCGGACCTCATTCTCACAAGCCGTACCCATGCGGTGGAGTCCCACAGTGCAACGTTAAAGCCCGATAGATAGGTTGATAAATGGTCTAACAATGTATACTCGAAATAAATACTCGATAAATTGGTTGATGTCTTCCCACCATCTCTTTAATGATGACACTCAGTCACATAGTCGTGAACGTTTTTCTATGCGTCTCACGAATTGTAAAATGCGGCGCACTATATCATCTCCACAATCATCGCCTTGGATTACCTAATACCAAGATCGGTAAAAGGCACTACCGAGGAAGGCAGTAGGTGATCCATGACGTCACCGTCGCACCTGTCGTAAGCCGATCGGACCACGTTATCTTAACGTCTAGTTTGCGTTTTCACCGACAGGTGGCAGCAATCAACATGGGTTTCCGCGAGTCGTTGTTGGAGGAGCGGGAGCGCGCCAAGGAGGAGATCAGCTGGCGCACGATCGCTCTGCGCGTGCTGGCCAACTTCAGCGTGCTACTGCTGCTGGTGGGCTCGGCGTATGCCGTGATCCTGCTGGTGAAGCGGTCCACCGAACCGGACGCCACCTCGTGGTACCGCCAGAACGAGCTGACGCTCACTATGACGCTCATCTCCAACGTGTTTCCGACGCTGTTCGACAAGCTGGGCCTGCTGGAGGGCTACCACCCGCGTCAGCAGCTGCGCATCCAGCTCGCACGCATCATGGCGCTGAACCTGTTGAACCTGTACACTCTCATCTTCGCCCTCTTCGGCCGCGTCGACGATATCGTGAGTTGGAACTAACAGAGTGGAATGTGTTTTGGGCTACGCTGCTGGCGTCTGGTCTCAAGGCGTGCTGCGGCTGGGTTTGATAGACTCAGACCGGACTTAATAATATATCATTCCGGATACTAAAGTAATTGTTACTTTGTTTGGTAGTTGATACTTGGTTTGATAGACTCAGCTCGAATTGGAACATCTCTAATTCCAGATACTTAAGTAATTGTTACCATAAAAGCAAAGCAATTCGCATTAGACACGTTAAAACTATTTACGTGTCCAAGACAGTGCTATTTGTAAAAGACGCACGCACATGTAGGTGCGGGAAACTGCCGTCAAGGGCTTTGGGCTTTGGGCTTTGAAGGGCTCGCCCTCAAAATATTTGGGGAAATTTACCACTAGGTAGATGGTGGTGCTTGGAACAAATGACCCAAACCTTTTTAGCTCAACTCCCCCCCCCCCCCCCCTGCCTAATCCAGGACGAGCTCCCTCACTCTTGCTTGCGTACCCTGACGAAAATCTGCAATTGCTTTTCAGACAAAAGAACTCACAGTTTTAAAGCCCAACTTCACAACCACGCCGTCACCGTTTTTAATCCCACCTGAGGAGCTCATGCTGTACAACGAGACGGACTTCACCAACAGCACGCAGCATCCTTGCTACAGCATAGTCATCAACTGCAGCTCCTCTGAGCCGGAGCGGCGGAATGATGACTTTCTGGGCGTCAACCCGACGACAGACTTCCCGACCGGAGGCCTGGGCGTCGAGGACGAACCTCTTGCTACCGTCTCCACCCCGCTCTCCACGGAGCACGAGGCGTTCAGGGGCGGCACCAGGCCATCCGTTGCCGATGGCGGCGACGCGCCGCGCCCGCCCGAGCCGGTGACCCCACCGCCGCCGCCGACACGCTCCGCCCCGCTCACCGAGGTGCCGCGACCGCAGTCGGAGCCCGCCGGGCCGGCTGAGCCGACGACCAACGGACCGTACGGACTGCCGAGCGGCGCCGACGCCGAGGCGGCCGGCCGCGAGCGAGACCAGTCCGCGACGGTCACCGAGGGGGACGCCTCGCGGCGGGGCGGCCAACCAGCCGGCGCGGACGGCACGCCGCAGCCAGACGGCGCCGGCGGCGAGTACGACTCGAGCACACCCGGTGAGGTGACAGAATACACTGCGCCGGACACCCAGCAGCCGCTGAGTGGTGGCGAGGAGGCGGAGCTCGCGGCGATGGTCACACAGTCGGGGGAAGTGCTGGATGAGGACAGTGACTACGGGACGTCCGGCACCGAGGCCACTATTCCGCCGGAGATGGTGCTGCCACAGACGGCAGTCGTGCCGGATTTCGTCCAGGTGGAGTCGCTGGACGAGGCGGCGGCGGCTGAGCAGTGGCCGCCTCTGTTCCCCGGCCGGAGGCGGCGGCGGCGGCAGGCGCCCTCCTCAGACACCGCCGTCATCGACGACGTCATGCAGACTTCCAGCTCCGGCGCGGACACCACGGCCGTCTCGGATTACGCGCTGGATGGCACCGACCCAGAGGGAGCCCTCGGAGCTACCGAGTCGTTAGCGGGCTGGTCCACTGATGCCGTCGGCGCGTCGGTCCATGCAACAGATGGCGGTAGTGAAAGTCACAGCAGATGACACCACTTCCCAAACGACAGATGGCAGTGGTGTCTCATCGACACCGGCTTTGCGATCGACCGGAACAGACGGCGCCACTTTCGAAGTGACGGGTGGCACTGGAATGTCCTCCATGACCGACGACAGCGCCGAGACGTTGGGCGGTAGCGATGCCACTTCGACCCAGACTGGTCAATCAACACTTCCGGAGGATGGCACCAGCGAAACAACAGATGACAGCAGCGTTATCGCGACCCAAACTCAGCTATCAAGCGATGCCAAGACACAGTCTGCAACGATCCCTGAACGGCCAAATGTAAATATCACCTTCACCAGACCGGACCGAACTCAGACGGAAACGAACATGCCGTTCCCAGCGTATGACACTGCAGACAGTCCTACGGTAAACTCAGCGGGCACGGAAACGTCCCGAATCTCGGCAGAGGCGGGAGTGACCAGGAGCAGCAGCATTTCCCCTCCGAACGGCACCGTGGAGTCCGACGCACGCCGACGTCCAATCACGGAGAGCTTTGACAATGTGCTAACGCGGTCTGAGCCTCTTCCGATGACTCCGCCACCTGCGTCGGAAGTAAACGGGACCCTCCAGCCTCGGCAACACACCGTTGGTGATCGGTCCGAGGTTCAGGTCACGGATGTCCCCCGGGCGTTCAGCAACGATAGCACCTTTGGCTATGATCCTAACAACAGCACATCCGAGGACATGGTCACGGTGGTGATCTTCGACATGGAGGAATGCTACGACTTCGTCTGCAACTCGAACAGGAGCAACTTAACGCAAATGTCGACCGAATACCCCGAGGAATCGGAGGATAGCGACGATACTCCGAAAGGTAGGTGGCTTTTGACGCCCTTTTGTAGATGGAGAAGGACGCAATAGCCAACGTCATCTATGGTTTGATAAATATCACAAATGGTCAAAGACTGTTGGGTGCATTGTTGACAAACGAGCATCTCTACCAAGTACCGGAAGTCTTGTTGGTCACACTGGCATATTGACATGGTTTCAAAACATAAAATGACAAAATTACTTTTCCTGTGGTCTTCTTTAAAATGAGACGTTCAATTTCAAAGGTGCATCACACACCCACGCACTTCTAAGCAAAAAACAATAAGGGCATTCATTTGAACGGCTTTCAAAGAATACGGAAAATACATGTTCTGTTTGATAGATTTTTACCAACTATCATTCCGATTATTTCCTTCAGTGTGCCAGCAAAATCACGGGCTTATTAAATCATCGAAATTCCCGACAGAGGAAAGCGCACTTTTCTCTGAGTCTGCCAGCGCCGTCTGTCGTAAGGGACTCGCAGCAGGCCCCTTTCCAAAATGGCGGACGACCGTCATATTCTACCCAACATGCCGTACACGTTCTACGGAGGGACGCGGCTGGCGAATTCGCCACGAGTCGCCCCTCCCCCCCCCCCCCCCTCCAGCCACTCTGCGCTGAATATTAATTGCATCGACTGGTCCGCATACCAAACTCCTGGGGGCATTGTCCGGCGGTGACCTCTCAGAGCGACAGCATCTTGACAGTAGTTTGTTTGGAACCGCATGAGATAGGGATGTGGTCATGGCGGTTGCTCCGACCAGTCTGTGCAACGGAGTATTCAGAACGTGCACCATGTACACACTGCTCGTTATCGTTGTTGTGCTCGTATCGTTGATATGCATGTGAATGAGTTACGTAAGCTATTAAGTGCATTTGCGAGGAACATTATTCATACAGATAAGACATTAGGAAACGCTTTATTCCTTAGAGAAAAGCCATGGGGTTGGATATATAGATGCGTTGGTGTTTCGGCAACATATCTTTATCGAAGCGAATAACAAAAGTGAATTCAAAGTTTCGTATTAACTTCTGCTATTTGTTTCAATCAAAACATGCTGCCGAAATATCAACGTATCCATATCTTCATTCTCCTGGT